TCCCCTGCCAGCCTGATCACCCCACATAGTCTGCTGTTCAGTCATTTGGTCATCCCTCATTAATCCTCCTGCTGGCCTGGTCACCCCATGCAGCCTGCTGTTTGGTCTTCCATATGGTATGGTCGTTTAGGTCATGACAGCCCCTTGCTTTTTATATATTAGGATAATGAACTAGCAGAAAGAGAAATTAAAAGAGCAATTCCATTTATAGTTGTATCAAAATAAAATACCTAGAAATAAATTTAACCAAGGAGATGACTCTGAAAACTGTAAGGCATTGATGACAGAAATTGAAGATGACACAAATAAATGTTCATATATTAGAGGATTAATATCATTAAAACTAGAGGCCCGGTGCACAAAAATTTGTGCACTCAGGGAGAGGGGGTCCCTCAGCCCAGCCTGTGCCCTCTCACAGTCTGGGACCCCTTGGGGCATGACCACCTGCTGGCTTAGGCCTGCTCCCTGGGGAGATTGGGCCTAAGCTGGCAATCAGACATCCCTCTGGCAGCCCGGGAGCCCTCGGGGATGTCCACTTGCCAGCGCGGAGCAGGCCTAAGTTGCAGTCAGACATCCTTAGTGCTGCTGAGGAGGCAGGAGAAGCTCCCACCACCACCGCTGTACTGACAGTCATCAGCCTGGCTTGTGGCTGAGCAGAGCTCCCCTTGTGGGAGCTCACTGACCACCAGGGTACAGCTCCTGCATTGAGCATATGCCCCCTGGTGGTCAGTGTGTGTCATAGTGACCAGTCATTCCCAGTCATTCTGCTGTTAGGGTCAGTTTGCATATTACCCTTTTATTATATAGGATAGAGGCCTGGTACACGGGTGGGGGCTGGCTGGTTTACCCTGAAGGGTGTCCCGGATCAGGGTGGGAGTCCCGCTGGGGTGCCTGGCCAGCCTGGGTAAGGGGCTGATGGGTGTTTGCAGGCTGGTCACACCCCCTTCAGGGTGGGGGTCCCCATTGTGGTGCCTGGCCAGCCTGGGTGAGGGGCTGATGGCTGTTTTCAGGCTGGCCACACCCCCTTTAGGGTGGGGGGTCCCCAATGGGGTGCCTGGCCAGTCTGGGTGAGGGGCTGAGGGCCGTTTTCAGGCTGGCCAAGCCTCCCAGTGATGGAAGCTCCCAGCCTCTCCTTTTTTCTTTTTTTTTTATACCGAGATTTATTTACTTTCTATAAGTAAAACTTTGTTGCCTTCAGTGGAGCTCAGAGCCGGCCAGGATGGGCGGGAAGCTTGGTTTCCTCCATCACTGGAGCAACCAAGCCTCCTGCTCGCTCCAGCTCCGTGGCTGCTGGCCGCCATCTTGGTTGGGTTAATTTGCATATGGTTGCTCTGATTGGCTGGTGGGCGTGGCTCAAGATGTAGCAAAGGTACGGTCCATTTGTATGTTTGTCTTTTATTAGATATTCATACTAACCAAAGCAATCTTCAGATTCCATGCAAGCCCTATCAAAATTGCAGCAGCAATAATCTGGGATTTATTCGGATGACATCTCCTCAGGGAGACGTTTGTAGTCGCCCAACGTAAAGCAGCCTGCTATTTGTCTCCACCACATTTCCTGAATTATTTTGTTAATAGCACCTATCATTAGATGAAATTGTTCAGTCTGTTTGTTTGGGATTACTACAATGTCAACAGGAATCTGTCTGCCTCGTTCATTGCTGTATCCCCAGGACATGGCCCAGAGCCTGGCACATCAGAGGTGCGTAATAAACATTTTATATACATGAATTTATTGCAGTGATGACAAAATGAACAACTTTGATCATCAAAGATTAGTTATACTCTTTCGTCAAGTGAAGGTTAGAGATAAATAAATGTAAAGGTTTAATACTAATTTCATGGAAGCAAAATAGTACAGAGGCCCTGACACTCCATACAGCATGTAGTGCAGGCACAGTGAACCCCCCAAGAAAGAGCAGCAGAAGTCAGTACCACAACCACCTTGCAAAAGGGAAGTTTGGTGTCATCTGTTCATTTGCATTTTTGTTAGTTATTACTTGTATTGGTTATGTAGTTTTCTTTGTATTTAAGATGCTATTTTGTTTGTTAAAATTTGAATTAATACCTAGTTAATCTTTTTACATAAAGTAACATTATAATTAAAATAACAAATCAGCACTATGGGTCTTCAAGAATGTTTTCCTTCAAAAGGAATCAGTACTCAGCTTTGAGAAACAATGAAATAAGGTTTAATATCCATAATATGTATTTTTTTAAAACCTCAAAAACTGATAGGAAAAGGTAAACAATCTAAAGTGGACAAAAGTTATGAACAGAATCCACAAAATAAATAACATATGCCAATGAATAAATAAAAATATACATACTAATAAGATGAAAATTACAGCAATGTGAAGCCATTTATTTTAACATATCAGTCTAGCAAATACTTTTAAAAATGATAGTATCAGGTTCAGCAATGATGTGAGTAAACAGGCCCTCTCATACACTGTAGATGGGAAGGTAAACTGGTTAAACCTTAGAGTACAATTGGGCAATATTTTTCAAAATTAAAAAATGTACATATTTTATGACTTATACAAATGCCACTTCTGAATTCTTACCATTTGCAATAGCATGGATGGAACTGGAGAGCATTACGCTAAGTGAAATAAGCCAGTCAGAGAAAGGTAAATGTCATACGATCTCACTCATTTGTGGAATATAATGAACAACATAAACTGATGAAGAAAAATAGAACCAGAGTCATAGAAGCATCGAACAGGCTGTCCACCCTATGAGGGAAGGAGGAGGGTGAAGGGGTTAAAGGATCAACCAAAGGACTTGTATGTATGCATATGAGCATATCTAATGGACACAGATAGTAGGGGCATAAGGGCATGTGCTGGGGGGTGGAGGCAGCCAGGGAGAGGTCAATGAAGGACAAAAAGGGTTATATAATACTTTAAAGAATAAAGAATTTTTTAAAAAAAATTTTAAATGCCACTTCTGGCCTGGCTGGTGTGGCTCAGTTTCTTGGGTGTCATCCGGTGCACAGAATGGTTACTAACTTGATTCCCTATCAGAGCACAGGCCCAGGTTGTGGGTTCAATCCCTGGTAGGGAACCTGCAGGAGGCAACTAATTAATGTTTTGCTCTTATATTGATATCTCTCTCTCTCTCCCTCTTCCTCTCTCTCTCTCTACAAATCAATAAAAATATTTTTAAAATGCCACTTCTAGGAACCCATCTTTATATGTATAAAAGAAAGGCCATTCAATGCAGCATTGTCTGAAATAGCAAAATGATAACAACAAAACAAAAAGGAATTAACCTGAATTCCCATCAATAGGAGACCACTTGATGGATACCATCTTACGGTACAAACGGGCAACAAATGCAGCGCAGCTGGTAGAAAAGATACCTCTGAATGCATGGGTTAGAAAGATTTTTACAAAAGTGAAAAGAACCCCTGAAGATCAGTATGTACTGTATAATCTTACTTTAAAACTACAAATGTTTACACACACACACACACACACACACACACACACACACACACTTGAATAAACATATAAAGCAGCCTGAAGGGCGACCACCAACAATAGTAGTTAATGTCTGAAAATGGAGATGAGAATTTTCACTTTTTATTATATGCACTTTCACGGCTCCTTTACATGGGTTTATAATTTTCCAAAGGCATAAGTGAGTTCTTAAAAATTAAATATATTCAGACGTGCATAAAATTGTTCAGGACACCAGGCATTTACTTTAACAATAATGAAACTATATTACTACAGGCATATCTCGTTTTATTGCACTTTGTTTTATTGTAATGTGCAAATAATGCCTTTTCTAGGTATTAAAGTTTTGTAGCAACCCTGTATTGAGCAAGTTCTACTGGTGCTATTTTTCCAACAGGCTCAAATGACGGCTAGCATTTTTTAGCAACAAAGTATTTTTTAATATATTTTGATTGATTTCAGAGAGGAAAGGAGAGAGAGAGATAGAAACATCATTGATGAGAGAGAATCATTGATCGGCTGCCTCCTGCTCACCACACAATTGGGATGGAGCCCCCACCAGGTGGTGCCCCCACCAGGAATCGAACCATGACTTCCTGATCCACAGGTCAACACTCAAACCAAAGTATTTTTTAATAAAGGTCTGTACATTGTATATTAGACCTAACGTTATTGCACATTTAATAGACAATAGTATAGTGTAAACAACTTTTATACATACTGGGAAAGTAAAAAATTTGTGTGACTCACTTTATTGCAATATTCAGTTTATAGCAGTGGTCTGGAACTGAACCAACAATATCTCTGAGGTATGCCTGTGTGTGTGTGTGTGTGTGTGTGTGTATTTCTTACTAAAGTTCCCAGTATTAAATGGTAGCCTAATATCCAAAAGAGCCTTAAATCTACATAGTTAAGTATCATATTGTCCATAATCCTAGAGAAGATTTATCTACTAGAAAATTTGGTTCACCACCATATCCCTCCCACTTCAAACTGTTTAGAATTCAATATTTTAAAATAAGTATTTGTGTTTACACCTTCACAAACAAGTCTTAACTTTCAGATTTTCTTTTCTTCTCTGGTAAATGTCTAGAAATATTCCATCCCCTCCCAGAACAATTTTTCAACTTCCTCGGTAGCCCGAAGTGGCTAAGATGTTGGATCTTGAACTTACCAGAGGCTCTAGCTTTCTAGGCTGCTGTCGTTTTCTTGTCCTCTCCTGGGCTTTGGTTTGGCGTTTGAACAAAAGGACCTGTGTATCTTCTGCATTTTCCATGGGTGTTACAAAACTTCGTTTTCTCTTTGCTCTTTTACTTTGCAGGTTTGGATTTGACAGCTGCTTGTCAATATTTTCGAGTTCGGAGTCCATTTCAGAGATGCGAAAAGCCATCCTTATTCCTGCAAGTGTAGGGTCAGGAAAAGACACATGAAGAGCAACAGAACTGGGGAAGTGGATGGGGACTTAAGAACTAGGAAGAGCTGAGTTTGCTCACTGCCAAAGAAAACCCATCGAAGTTACCCCATTCTTTCCAAAATGAGGACTTGAGCCAGAGGAATGAAAATTAGGAACTGTGCCTGACCTTCAAGAAGTCCTATAGTTGGGGTGGAACCTAGACATTTGCATTTCTAACAAGTTATTGGGTGCTGCTGCTGCTGCTGATGCCACTAATTTGGGGGACACACTGGGCTAGATGGGAAGGATGAAGAGAAATGCAATTAGCACTGAAATATTCAGATCATTGTTTCTCGCACTTGAATAAACAAAAATACCTCCTGGGAAGCTTGTCCAAAATGCTGGTAATTCTAATACAAGCAATCTGAGAACTACAGCCTAGATACTCATGAAGAAACCAAACAAAAGAAGAGAATTGAGGGCTATATTCTGAAATAGTGCTTCTGGAACTTTTATGTGCATGAGAGTCTCTTAAGAAGCTTGTTAAAGTGAAGGTTCTGATTCAAACACATTGAATAGCCAGGTCCTAGAACACTAGAACTGTGAGACCTGTGTAGTGGAATTGCATTCTCTTTACCACTCACACTCCCAACCCACCCAATGGACAGAGATACTTCTCTCCACAATGGTAGTCTGGCACTTGAATTCTTCAACCAGGAGTCAGCTGGACTGACTTTTAGTCTAGATCTGCATCTGGCCAATCAAAATCTGATGCAAAGCAAGGAGGTGGGCTGCACTGAAACAAGCCAAGAACTGAGTTGCCAACTCCAGTGAAAGTGAGATGCGGATCATGGATGAGGACATCATGGTACCATGAGGTGATGACTCAAGGGACCTGATCATGTGTTACTGCTGAAATCCCATTTCAGGGCAGCCTGTGATTGAATGAGGCCTCTGTGGAATGTGGATCCATCTCTCCTGTGCTAAGATGAAGAACACTAATGTCCCTGACTTCTTTTACTGCCGGAAGTACAAGGACCGTAGCCAGAGGCCTGGCGGTGAGGGGAGCCTCCCAAATCTGGAGAGCCCTGACATCATCATCTCTAGGCTGAAACTTCCAAATGACAACATGACTTGGGAACTGAGCCTCGGGGGCCTCACTCCGTTGCCTGAAGCTTGGATACTGTCACACTTCACAGAAGGAATTCCCAAGGGAGATGGTTTGGAAATGAGTTCCTACTCTACTCTTCCTTCCTACCTTGTGGGCTTGAACTGGGACCCATTAGAGTGGGAGGCTGTCTGGGTCCTAGACACTCTCTCTGTCCCTTCGACCTGCCACCTCTCACTCTCCGGGCCAGGTTTGGGATTGGAATGGAACGGAACGGTTGTCTACAAAACTCTAGTGTCAGTACAGCCCCTCCTCACCTGTTCTTCTATCCCACTCCCCACTTATTCTATACTGGTTTTATTTTTAATCTTGGACTTCCCCCTTTCGGGCATGGCAGCTCAGAGGTAGAGTCCCAACCAGAGCCTGGCAGAGGAAGGCAGGAAAGCAGGTGCCCATTCTCTCACTCACCTCTTTTGCTTCTAACGATATTGGCCAGCCATGTGGGAAGGCAGTCTGCGTGTTATAAAACAAAGCAGAGTGGGCTCTTGAAAATTGCAAGTCTCCTCTGCAATTTTGATTTTTTCAAGTAACCACATTCAAAAACACAACATAGGGAACCGGTGACGCTGATTTCAATAATGTGCTTTATTGAACATATCCAAAATCGTATCATTTCAACACATAATCAATATCAAACGTATCAATGTGATATCTTCTTTGTTGTTACTGTCTTGGAAAGCCGGTGCGCATTTCACACGTAAAGCACACCTCCGTTCAGACCAGCCACGTGGCGAAGAGCACAGGTCTAGATCTGACCACTCCGAAATCTCTATTCCTCACTTCCCGCCCCCTCTAACATGCTAGGGAATCGGGGCAATGCCTTTCCCTTGACTTCCTCTGCCCGCGGGAGTTTTTCCTCGTGTGCTCCGAAAGCCATGCGGTCTTTGGTCAAAAAGTCAGAGCCCAGCCCCACAGTTTGATTCCTCAAGACTCACCAAGTCAGACTAGAGCAGCCGCCACCTCCGCCTGGGTCTCCAGAGACAGCAAGTCCAGGGCTGGGAGTAGAAAGGTGGCGTCCCCGGGAGAAGTTTCCCGTTGCCTAGCAGCCAGAAGGTCTCCCCGGGGCGCACGGGTCCTGCATCTCTGGTTGGTGGAGAGGCCGCCCTGGACCCGCCCTGCCCCTCCTCCGTGCTGGGAACCGAGCAGTCCCCAGGCCCGGAGGCGAGGCAGCCAATGGAGGTGGTCCGTTCTGTTTGTTCCTTCGCTCATCCACCACCCGCGCTGCTGGTCCCTCCCTCCTCCTGCAGGACCTTTTCTGTTTCCTCTGCCAGAGGTCTCCAGGCTGACTGGACGTTCGCGCTCATCTAACTTGCTCTGGTTCAAAGAATCGAGAATCTCTGGAGAGGGAAAGGCGTTGGTATGCAGTTCGGGTCCCCCTGTCAAAGGGAGCGACAATGCTGCGTCTCCACCCCACCCACACCCTCCTCCCTGGAGTGTCCAAAGGCGCAAGAAGTGAGGTCTTCTTCCCCTCCAACTGCACCGTTTTTTTCTTCTTTTTCTTTTCCACCTGGGAGGTAAGCCAGTGTCAGACACAGCACGAGCCCATGTTACCGAGTCCCCGCGCCCTATGTCCCAAAGCGGACCCTGGATCTTGTTCTGGCATTTAGACCCGCCTAATTAGCCCCCCAAATGACTGCTGCTAATGCTACATGGAGGGTCTCCACCGAAGCCCAGCGCGGGTGGCTCGCTGAAGATGCCGTATCTCAGTGAGCAAGAAACGTCACACTAGACTGGGACAAAGCCCTGGTTTTCAACTGCTCCTCCCAGATGACATAATCACAGCCGGAACTCAATCTTCTCTTGAGCGTTTTGGTCCTTATTTAAAACAACCTTATTATTTGTTTCTTGCTTTGAACGCCAAGTCCCGTACAAAATGCTTTACCTGTCATACAGACAACCTGCACTTGCTCAATCTTAAAATATTCAGTTATGTATTTTACATGCTAGTGGTGGCGCCATCTACAGGGTGGAGAATGAACGAGAGAGCGCTTTAATACCAGAAAGTAGGACATAAAACAAGAATAGGTGATGGAAAGTTGGGCCATCTCACACCAACATAGGTGCATGCATGCACACCCATTACATGCTGGCATATAAGACATGCAGATATAAAAGACATATCCTGATTTCACACAGAAATTGATAGAGGGGGGCGATTAAGTACTTTTCATCAATTAAGAAATGATTTTAAAACGATTTTGAAAGAAAAATATGTCTTACTACTAACCTGGCTATGTCTAGTGGCTTTCTCCTGGTCTTTGTTTACACTAAGCACTTACGTTTTTCAGTGGATGACACCAACCAACACTCTGGCTCCAGCCCAACCTGCTTTCTATTCTGATATTTGATGTTGCCCATGTGTTATGGCAGATCATTCCCCCATCACTGTGACAGGTTTCAGATGTCTGGGAAGGGCTCAGTCTCTCCCCTTCACTCAGAGGCTGCAGATTTTTGTTAAGAAACAGTATGTGCATGCCCTGGCCGGTTTGGCTCAGTGGATAGAGCGTCGGCCTGCGGACTGAGGGGTCCCGGGTTCGATTCCAGTCAAGGGCATGTGCCTGGGTTGCGGGCTTTGTCT